CCGCGGCGCGTTTGCCTTGGTGGGCGAAACGCGCGCACACATATATATATCTATATATATGCACCGAAAAAGAATAGGTAGAAGAAGAAAAAGGGGAAAGAAAAAAGACGTGTCTGTTTTGGATCAGCTCCTAGTGACAAAAAAAAAGAGGTTTAGTGGCACCTGCGCTAATGAATCCGCCGTCCAAGTTGGGAGACTTCTTTGGGGTTGTTGATGATTTCTTCAAGAAAACATTCCGAGATGACGCACAGGTGTTTGTGGCGGTGAAGTCCCGGCAGTACTCTGAATCGTTTCCAGGGAAGCAGCTCTTTTTCACCACCTCCCCGACCTCGTCACCGGCGTCAGGTGAGCCGGATATTTCGACGCATGCAACGGCGGGGGAGGCGGCGGCGGTGTCGCCCACAAAGACGAACTACATGAACTTTTCTCCACGCCTGGTTCTCAACAACGATGGGACAGCGTTTGGCAAGGTCAAACTTGGGTGTGGCCTCCATATTCCGCGTGTCTGTCGCTTTGAGCAGGGCCTGACGTTGACCAACAAGGGGGTCGTCTCCACCAACCTTAAGTTAATCGATATTCTTGAAGGCCTTGAGCTTAAGGGTCGCATTGCTGTTAATACGATTGCGCCCGCGTCTGAGGACGTGTCGGTGGCCACTATAGATTACCAGAGACGTGATTTTTACACTTCGCTCGGATATCAACGCAATGGACTCGGAAGTAGTGATCTTTTGGTGGATTGTGGAACCAGATTTTTCAACCTTCTTCTTGGGGCCGGTTTCGAGCGCCAAAAACTGTCCTACCTTGAACACGAGGATACTTCAGCGCAGATGGATGTGTTATACGCGGGTTTAGGCTTCACTGGGGTCAACTGGTCGATTGGGGCGAAAATGGTGCGTGCTAACGACGCTTGGAATACGGCTCGAGTGGCCTTCTACCAACGTATGGCGCCTAACACGATGGTGGCGTGTGGGTATAACTTTGATCTCTCGGAGTCCCGTGCGCACCTCTCCTTGGGTTTCTCACAGGGTTTTCGTCTGCGTGTGCCCACCATCCTACAGCAACCCTCGGAGGAACAGGTGGGTGAATGGACTGCAGTTTTGCCTTTTGTGGGGGCCGTTAAAACGGAGAGTGACGGTGTCTGCGCTGCCACCATTCGTGGTATCTTCAACGGGGTGATTCACTGGGCCCTAATCGCCCGCAAGAATGTGCTGCATGCAGCAAGCCCAGTGCAGTATGGGATAACCGTCTCGATGGAATCCGAATGAGAAAGAAATATTAACACATAGAGGGAGAGATAATAGTTGGGAGTTTTTCTCACGCATCCCACTGCCCCATCTTCCCACAAACACACAGACACACAGACATGATTGTAGTTTCGTGTGTCAGATTTTACTTTTCCATTCTCTCTTTATTGTTACTGCATAGAGCTGGGCCAGTTCCTTTCACGAACTAGGCATTCATGCCCTAGCCGTGTAGATTTCTCGAGACATTTGGTGAGAGTAAACAAAGAGGAAACGAC